TCTCACCCCGCCGGCCTGCATGTTGCTTCTTTGCGCCTCTTTTAAAGGATCCCAGGTTGTAAGAGGGACGGAACACGTGAGCGGGCAGAGCATTCCGTTTACGAATAGTACGGCAAAGAAATGAGACACCAAATTTCTTTGTACGCGTTGGAATTGTAGCCACAGTTAGACGGTGACAACGTAAGCCAGCGCGCGTGGTCCTTTTCGTCCCCTTGGGATCTCGCCGTCCCCAAACATGGTGACGCTGTAAAGGTCATCTGCGACCAACAGCATACACACTAAAAAAAAGTCATTCCAATCCTTCATCCGTGGCTCTCTTTCTTGTTTCTTGGTGAGTAAATGGCAACAAACAGTAGCCGCTGTAAGAATTAAGTTTCTTCTTCTGAATCAGATTTTTTGACACAAATAATAGTATAGACGATTAGTTACCGTGCCGCCTGTGAGATAGACTGATAGATATGAAGTGTTACCATATAATAAAATATTTTCCCATTTTTAGAGTTTAAGTCTCTCGCATTGGGCGAAGTTGGCTGATCCGTATTCGTGCTTAATCGGCTCGCTGTCTGTACATCAAAGGAATTCGCGCCGATGATCGTTCACGCGTCCACACATTCGCCCCACATTCAGTCGCTCGAGGACGACGCCGACGCCGGTGTGGGGAATGAAGTGTTGTGTGACGTTTATGCCAGGGTTTGTTTACCGGTTAATTTTCAAACCTAAATCAGTATCAAGTACATTAGGAGCGTTTTATTTAGGTTTGGCTCTACCTTAACCTTAAAAAAACCGGTTTTCCAAAAAAGCGAAATCAAACCGGTTTTGAATCAATTTAGCGGTTTTTAAAGGGTTTCATTTCGCTCTTACTGACGGCATCGCCTTCGCCGTTTCAATTCAAATTAATAATGATTTTATGTCAGTTTCTTTCCAACTACTGAGCGAGTAAGTGAAGTAGTGTGTCAGTACACAACTACAAAATGAATAACTTGACTCACTAGACGCTAGCAAACGTGTCAATAAATGCATCAATCTCTGAGCATTAAAATGTTGTGACTTGATTAGTTCAAACAAAACAAACTTCAAGTGATGCCGATGCTTGCCCGTGTCGCTCTGGATTAAACTGGTTTATTAAGGTTTTAGGTACCGCTTTCATTTAGGACGGGCTCCGAACGAAACCTTTACTAAAAACCGGTATCAACCTTTATTTACCGGTATTTTCGAAACCGGTTACAAGCCCTGGTTTATGCCTACTTACATTACGTTTTCGGATAATTCTGAACTCGTTTGCCCCTTAGAAATGATAATTCTTTAAAAAAAAATTGTTCTTATGATTATTTTAAGTTATATAGGGCTTTTCAACAAGAACTTTGTTTTCTAAATCAAAATAAAACAAAAAATTTAGATGAAGATGATTAAATTTTTTATTGAATTACAGAGAGAAAAGTTCGGCAATTATGAATGAAAAATAATATCTTGCAAATGTCCCCTACGAGCACGCTGACAGATGTCAATTCTTTCATCAAAGTTTTTAATCACTGTTTGGCAAAATGGCGGGACTATTTCGTTAATCACATCACGGATTTTGAGTTTTAAGGCTGCAATCGATTCGATTGGCCTCGTATAGATTCTGTCCTTAACATAACCCCACAAAAATAATCTAGTGGTTATAAATTTTATTATTTTTAAAGCATGTAACTGCTTGATGTTTAAATCTAAAGAAAATATAACTAGAAAAAATTCCACGCGGACCAGGCAGCAGACGGGACTCGAACCCGCACCCTTCGCAATCCGGGCGAATGCACTGACCAATTATGCTACCGCGGCCCTGACGGACCGCGTCGAAATTCTTCTAGCCATTAGTAATACTTGTAAAAGTATTCATTTGACATTGTGGGTTACCTATAATGCGAAGAGATGGCGCTGCCTTGCAGCTTAAGAATGGCTAGAAGAATTTCGACGCGGTCCGTGAGGGCCGCGTTAGCATAATTAATCTAGTTGTGTTAAATCACATGATCTGGCTGGTCACTTAACAGCTGAGTTTAGTGAAATCATGCGATCGCGGGAAATTTGGTTTGCAATAAATTTATCGTTTCATTGGCTGTGTGACATGTTGCACCGTCCTGTTGAAACCACACATCAGTGATATCCACGTCATCAATAATAGGCCAAAATTCGCCATTTGGTGGTTCTGGATAACCCCAATTGTTGAGAACGTCGCGGAATTGACAAATTTGGATCTGCTTCAACACTGTGGCTCACGGCTGCGATGCTTTCAGTCGAACGACTCGGTCGAACATGCGTTGGTGTTGGCACATTTTGTATCGAGCCTGTCGACTCAAATTTAACGATCAAATTCTTAATGGCGGTCTCAGAAGGACGATATACAAAAATCACGAATTTGACAAAATGTAACTGTAACAGAACCACTATTTTCATAGTGGATTTTAATTATTTTAATTCGATTTTCAAGCGAAATTGAATTCATTTTAACAATTGCCAATGCATCTACTACGAATACGTCAAAAAACTAAATGTCAAAACTATCATATTGTTGGTGTAGCCACAATTGAAAAACAAAGTTCTCATTGAACAACCCTGTTAGTCCAGTCATTATATACATTTAAAGTGAAAATGAACCGAGAAAGCCAAATTTTGGATATCACGTGGGGGGTGACTAGAAAAACTTAAGTTCAAATTGTCGACCAAAATAACCTTGTGCAATTTCCGCCATCTTGAAAAAACCCTTAAATTCAGTTTTTTCATCATAACTCGATTCCCCGTTGAGATACGAAATTTTTTATAGAATACTTTTTTGTTGCTCTTCTCGCGATCTACAATTAAGGTCCCATGCATTTTTCACGTATCGGTCGTCGTTTTCGAGATATCGATCAAAAAATCAAAAATTTGGGGAGATCTTTTTTTCGCTATTTACTTTTTTCTGGTGAAAGATATCGAAAAATGTTTAAGATAAAACTTGTAGAGCGTGTCCAGACCTACAAATTCGTTTTTTATTTTTCATTTCCGACAAAAATTACGACCTCTAGCGCGCCACAAAGTCAGTGAAACTGTGTCCGGTTTTCATTTAGTCGCTCGCTCGGTTGTATCCACGCGTCAAACAATTATTGCAATAGAAAAAAAAATCATAAACCAGCCAAATTAGAAATCAAATACATGAAATTTATTGATGAAATAATTTTTATACAGCAAACATAATGATTACAAGTGGTAATTTTTTTCACACGTTTTTCGTCGTTTGGATGGTCCTTGCTGTTCAAGTTCCTCCTCCGTAGATTTTTGATATTTTTGATCGATATCTCGAAAACGACGATCGATACGTGAAAAATGCGTGGGACCTTAATTGTAGATCGCGAGAAGAGCAACAAAAAAGTATTCTATAAAAATTTTCGTATCTCAACGGGGAACCGATTTATGATGAAAAAACTGAATTTAAAGGTTTTTCAAGATGGCGGAAATTGCACAAGGTTATTTTGGTCGACAATTTGAACTTAAGCTTTTCTTGCCATCCCCCACGTTATATCCAAAATTTGGCTTTCTCGGTTCATTTTCATTTATTTCCCGATTTTTCCGACGTAATGACTGGACTATGTAGTAAGATCAGTATTGTAGGAGGCCTATACCCGAAAAGACCATGACTGTTCATTAAACTTTAATAATTATGAATAAATAAATGAAATAAATTTAATTAATATTATCATTAATCATAATACACATAAACATATAATTATATTTCATGATACAAAATTTATTACGACATTATTTCTTCAATCGGAAATCACTTTAATGTTTTATACATGATTCAATTACATCATTTAACTCGTTACATGAGAGAAAATTCTTACACCAGAGAAATAAACATTTATAAATTGAAATAAAAAAACTTATAGTATAAACCAAATTAGAAGAAAAGCTCTGGATTCAGGACCCACCATTTCAGTTTCATTTAATGAGGGCTACCGTTTTCTGCCTCACCAGATGGCGCCACTGTTGAGTGAGGTCCTAAATTGTAACTTTTAAAGTTTATTAATACGCACATGAAATCAAAGGTTACATTTAGATCGTATTTTAACACAAAAGAACCATATCCTAAACATAATAGGCCATGCCACAGTGACGCGCAGTTCCGTTTTATTCGGAAAAAATGAGAACATAATCATTTTTCTAAGCTCAAATTTTTAATAACTCACATTCATTGCCACATAACTCATATTTGCCATAATTAAGCCGAATTGTTACCGATTATTCACAACATTATTTTAATTAGAAATAAACCCGCGTAGTCAACCAACAAGCAATAACATTTGACATTTCGGAGACCTCACGCTACACTAGCGCCTCTAGCGGCGGATTCATATGCGATAGCCCTCATTGAGGACTCTTAGCTTCATCTGAAGGTAACACGGTAGCCTGAAATAAGAACAATCATTTAATGAAGGCCATTGTATTTAGTTACAATAAGAAAATGTACTTATTTCTGTAAGATATACAAACAAGTTTTGTCTCAGTGTCTGTACCTGTAGTGTGCTCTATTTCCATTGGTTCCATTGGTTTTTATAAAAAAAATATTAAGAAAAGTTTACTAGAAAAAAATCCACGCGGACCAGGCAGCGAACGGGACTCGAACCCGCATCCTTCGCTATCCGGGCGAATGCACTGACCATTATGCTACCACGGCCCTATTAGCCGCGTCGAAATTTTCCTAGCGTTGAGCTGCAAGGCAGCGCCATCTCTTCGCATTGTAGGTAACCCACAATGTCAAATGAATACTTTTTCAAGTATTAAACATTTGAAAGAAGAAATAGCAATTATAGTGATGCGGGTTCGAGTCCCGTCCGCTGCCTGGTCCGCGTGGATTTTTTTCTAGTAAACTTTTCTTTAGATTTAAACATCTAGCAGTTAAATGCTTAAAAATAAATAAAATCATAAAAAAAATATTACATTTTTTGTAATCTTGAACGTTTAAAACGATTTTATTTTTATTTTTTCAGAGTTGTACGAAGCCCAAGGATGGCATGTTGAATGTTCATATAGTTGCCCACACACACGACGACGTGGGCTGGCTGAAAACCGTTGACCAATATTATTATGGACGTGAGTAGCATCATCAACAGCGTATTAATTCCCACTGCTGGGGGCACAGGACTTCCCTGTGGGTGGAATACAGACCGTGAGCCACTACGAGGGTACTATTGGTGGGTACTAACGACTGCAGATGCAGCCGCGAATTAACATGCCTAAGCTGCTTAGCACGGAGGATTGAAAGATAGTAAATTTTTGGTCACCCATCTTTTCCTGGCCATTGTGAAAGTAGCTTTACCTCTGGAAGCGCTTCATCATTTTTTTTTATTTAAGTAGTCACTTACTTACTTATTGATATATGAGATATGATTGATTTTCATCATCATCATCAGCCTCTTAATGTCCCCACTGCTGGGGCATTGGCCTTCCCTATGGATGGAATAGGGAGATTGGGCCATGACCCACCACGCGGGCCCAGTGCGGATTGGCGGGTGCTAACGACTGCAGGTGCAACCGGGAACAACGGCTTAACGTGCCTTCCGAAGCACGGAGTAACTCGAGATAGAATTTTTTGGTCACCCATCCAATGACTGACCACAGCGAAAGTTGCTTAACTACAACGATCGCAGCCGAACGCGCTAACCACATGCGCCATCGAGCTCTTCGTTCCTTCCTGATTGATTTTAAATATTCATAACTATTATTTCGCATTCCTGCGAAGGCTGCGAAACGTCAATAAATAAATAATATCAGTGCATCCAACCCGTTGAAACTTGATTTATTTAATGAAATCTTCTTTAAAGGTGTTGTTCGTTTTACAGATCGGAATAACATACAAAAAGCTGGCGTGCAGTACATTCTGGACTCTGTTGTGAAAGAGCTATGGGAGATTCCGGAACGAAGGTAAGAATGAACACAGCACGCCCAACCTGTCAGTGTATTCTTCTGTATTCCAAGCTTTTACAGATATTGAGAGGAGCTCGATGGCGCAAGTGGCTAGCGTGTTCTGCTGCGATCGTTGAATTTAAGCAACTTTCGCAGTGGTCGGTCATTGGATGGGTGACCGAATATTTACTATCTCGAGCTCCTCCGTGCTTCGGAAGGCACGTTAAGCCGTTGGTCCCGGCTGCATCTGCAGTCGTTAGCACCCACCAACCCGCACTGAACCCGCGTGGTGGGTCATGGCCCAATCTCCCTATTCCATCCATAGGGAAGGCCTGTGCCCCAGCAGTGGGAACAATTAATAGGCTGATGATGATGATGACAGATATTGCAATCCACGCAGATCCCACGACAACGGCTAACTAGAGCCGAGGTCCTCGTCTCAGAGACGCCCTCTAGTTGAGCCGACCCCCTCAGGTGCTCGTGGTCTAGAGGCTCCAGACGGAGAGGAGACTCCCCCCGTGGGGAGATGCCAGCCGCCTGGAATACCTCTAGAGGCACTCGCTAATTCTTGGCTTGAGGTCCCCTTAGGATCTCGCCGTCCCCAAACCCGGTGACGTTGTAAAGGTCATCTACGACCAACAGCATACACACTCAAAAGAAAGAGCCCTTACACATTTTTTGCAAAAAATCGTGATTTTTGAGCGTTTCGTTTACCCCCTTAGAAAAGATTTTGACTAATTCCAATAGAATTAAACTGTAGATTTATTCTTCGTATTATAAGTTAATCTATACTTATAATAAATCTGTAGAGATGTCAATTCTGTACATGAAATATATTTTTAAAATAACTATCAGGGGGTGATTAGTGATCGATACTGATGCCAAAAATGCAATCAGTAAATTTTTTGTCTGTCTGTCTGTCTGTGTGTATGTTCCTTATAGAAACAAAAACTACTCAACGGATTTTAACGAAACTTGGTACAATTATTCTTCATACTCCTGGGCAGGTTATAGTATACTTTTCATCACGCTACAATCAATAGCAGCAGAGTAGTGAAGGGAAATGTTGGGAAAACGGGAGAAGTTACTCCATTTTTTAAGCTTGCGTCGCGGGTGCAGCCTTAATGGTTAAAGTTGACGGAAATATTCTACATAAAATTTTCTAAAAAATATCCCGCAACAGCATATGTCTATCTTTTATGGTTAACTCACAATAACACGTGTAATTATATAAATAAAGTCATTGTTTATAGCACAAGCCTGATAACAAAAACTATAGTTTACACTACAGCTCTACACCGAAGCGAAGCGAGGCGATCCTTGGACTAGACTAGAATATATAATTGCGGAATAGAGAAATTTTGTGTGACGCTCGTGACGCGCGTAGCGTTTCAGCCTTCGCTGAGTTACCCTCTAACTTTCATGCTCGTCGGGAAGAGCTGTGCACGAACCCCAAACGCATACACACATATATATACAGTCGTGTGACGGTCGTGACGCGTTACCGTTCCATATACAGTAAAACCCGTTTAAGACGATATCACAGGGCTTCAACCAAAACCGCGTTTTAAGCGGGAAAGCGTATTAAGCGGGATTGCAGGATAGAGAAATTTGGAATGTAGGTATTGAGATATTAAATATAGGTACGATATTTAAGAATTATGTACGTTATAAAAAGTAGTGTATTATTATTACGTTTGTATTAAATTAATTTTATTACGTTTGTATTAAAAAAGATTTTGAGGCATTAGCAATTACAAAATTTTCACATAAATAAACTTTTGCTTTGCTTCTTCGCTTTGATTCAAAGAATATACATAGCTTCTTAAATTATTAATTACTGATAATGCCTGGGTGGGTGACAAAATCGGAGTTGATTCATCTTCTTCTTGATCAGTATCACTTAGGGCCTTGTGTGTTATTCATATTCTCGATAAAATCTTGAATTGATTAATATTTGTTTCTTAGGTTTTCACGCACATCACTCATTAAATAAAACTAGTTTTTACGGGTTAATGCACGAAACTTTATTTATTTATTGACGTTTCGCAGCAGCAGCCTTTTCAGGTCTGCATCGTCAGAATAATGATTTTTTATTTAAAATTGTCGAGCTACCTTCGAAAGACTTATATTGAGCGTTCGGTTATTTCATTGGAAGATTTTTAAAATTTTTATTGTCTATGTATGAATTTATTATTTAATTTACGTCGAAACGAAACGTCAATAAATAAATAAAGTTTCGTGCATTAACCCGTAAAAACTAGTTTTAATGAATTGATTAAATTTGGTACGGTGTCACATTGTCATCAATGGAAAAATATCCAGGAAAACCCTGGGGGTCGCTTAGCATGCGTCGCTCGACAGTCGTCAGCAATCGCTGGCTCCCGGAAGAGGTAATATGTGTGGTGCGTGTTGGCGATTTAGGCGTATTAAACGGGATGACGAATCGTATTAAGCGTTAAGAAATGTATGAAAACATGTCTCAAGTTGCAGGGACCGACGCGAAATGGCGTATTATGCGAGAAATCGTATTAAGCGTGATCGTATTAAACGGGTTCTACTGTATTATAATATATCCATTTACACCCCTTCCGAAAAGAAGTTTCACTTCCAAAAAATGTTTATTGATAATCAAGTTCTCCCCCCGCAGATTCATCTACGTTGAAACTGCGTTCTTCGCCAAATGGTGGTTTGAACAAACCCCTGAAATCCACCGCAAAGTCGACCAGCTGGTACAAGAGGGTAGATTGAAGTTTGCCGGCGGCGCTTGGAGTATGAACGACGAGGCAAACACTTATTACCAGAGCACTATAGACCAATTCACGTTTGGACTCGGGTAAGTGAGAATTAAATAGGTCTTCATTATTAACAGTCTAGTATTGCATTTAGTTTCCGAATAACAACTGTTGTTGAGGGCATTTAGTTTCCGAATGATAACTGTTGTTGTGGTGCATTATCTTATGACGCCGAGGCTAGCACTTATTACCAGAGCACTATAGACCAATTCACGTTTGGACTCGGATAAGTGAGAATTAAATAGGTATTCATTATTAACAGTCTAGTAATTGCATTTAGTTTCCGAATGACAACTTTTGTTGTGGTGCTTTATCTTATGACGCCGAGGCTAGCACTTATTACCAGAGCACTACAGACCAATTCATGTTTGGGCTTTTGTAAGTGAGAATTAAATAGGTCTTCATTATTAATAGTCTAGTAATTGCATTTAGTTTCCGAATAACAACTGTTTTTGAGGGCATTTAGTTTCCGAATGACAACTGTTGTTGTGGTGCTTTATCTTATGACGCCGAGGCTAGCACTTATTACCAGAGCACTATAGACCAATTCACGTTTGGACTCGGGTAAGTGAGAATTAAATAGGTCTTCATTATTAACAGTCTAATAATTGCATTTAGTTTCCGAATGACAACTTTTGTTGTGGTGCATTATCTTATGACGCCGAGGCAACCACTTATTATCAGAACACTATAGACCAATTCACGTTTCGGCTCGGAAAAGTGAGAATTTAATAGCTTCATTATTAACAATATATTAATTGTATTTAGTTTCCGAATGACAACTGTTGTTGTGGTGCATTATCTTATGACGCCGAGGCAACCACTTATTATCAGAACACTATAGACCAATTCACGTTTGGACTCGGAAAAGTGAGAATTTAATAGCTTCATTATTAACAATATATTAATTGCATTTAGTTTCCGAATGACAACTGTTGTTGTGGTGCATTATCTTATGACGCCGAGCCTAGCACTTATTACCAGAGCACTATAGACCAATTCATATTTGGGCTTTTGTAAGTGAGAATTAAATAGGTCTTCATTATTAACAGTCTAGTTATTGCATTTAGTTTCCGAATAACAATTATTAAATATTTAATTTTGACCTAGATTGTTTTAGTCTAGAGAATATTAACACAGGTGTTGTCTTTAAGACGTACCTAGCCATGAAATACTTTTACGTTATGATTTTATTTATATTTTAAGCATTTAACTGCTAGATGTTTAAATCTAAAGAAAAGTTTACTAGAAAAAAAAATCCACGCGGACCAGGCAGCGGACGGGACTCGAACCCGCATGCATCCTTCGCTATCCGGGCGACTGCACTGACTATAATAAAATTGCTATTTCTCCTTTCAAATGTTAAATACTTGAAAAAGTATTCATTTGACATTGTGGGTTACCTACAATGCGAAGAGATGGCGCTGCCTTGCAGCTTAAGGCTAGGAAAATTTCGACGCGGCTAATAGGGCCGTGGTAGCATAATGGTCAGTGCATTCGCCCGGATAGCGAAGGATGCGGGTTCGAGTCCCGTCCGCTGCCTGGTCCGCGTGGATGTTTTTCTAGTAAACTTTTCTTTATACTTTTACGTGTTAATTTTTTTAGGTTTCATTTCTATCGGACTTTTTACGTAGTTTATATATTTTTCAGCTTTCTTAATGCCACATTTGGCGAATGCGGCCGTCCCAGAGTAGGATGGCAGATAGATCCTTTCGGTCACTCCCGAGAGTTCGCCTCTCTCCTAGCGGGGATGGGTTATGACGGGCTGTTCTTGGGTAGGATAGATTATCAGGACAAGACCCAAAGGATGAAGGATAAGACCATGGAGTTCGTGTGGAGAGGAGATGATAGCTTGGGTGAGTTTTTCTCCATCTTTAATTTTAACTCGTTCAAAAAGAAAAGTTTACTAGAAAAAAAAACACGCGGACCAGGCAGCAGAAGGGACTCGAACCCGCACCCTTCGTTATCCGGGCGAATGCACTAACCATTATGCTACCGCGGCCCTGACGGCCGCGTCGATTTTTCTCTAGTCTTGGGCTGCAAAGCAGCGCCATCTCTTCGCATTGTTGGTAACCCACAATAATTTTAAGTATCAATAAATCATTCAGTTCGTTTGCTCTGAGATTTTTTTACAAACTTTGATTATCTAAGTCTTAACTGCTATATAATGTAAACTGCACGGCCGCGTCCAAAAAATATCTACTACATATGGTAGATACCACAGAACAGAGAAAGAGGTTAGAATGGCCTTGTGGGCGGGGCAGGCGCGTCCCAGTTATGAGCAAATGCTCATAACCTAACCGTAACGCGCGATCGCGTCGTTTAGTTGCTCGCGCACGTTCAGTGAGAGAGTATTGTGATTATCGCTTAAGGGCCCCTTTTCCGAAATTCATGTTTCTAGATCGAGTTGTTTTCAGAGAAAACATCATATTTAAATTCTGAAAAAAATATATAGTACAGATACACGTTTGAACTAGTGACTTTTTTGGATAAAAACACAATATTTAACATTTTACTCGATAAAAAAAAAATCCGATGTGACATCGATTTTGAAAGTATTTTAAGTTGTATGAGACTTGGGTCAACGCAATTTTTATGAAATTTAACATCTCATTTACTAAGCGGGTTTGACAGGGATATTATTGGATAGATTTACAATATAACTTTTATTTTTTTCTATATAAATCATATACGTGAAAAACGGCTCGCGCGCGCCGCGCCAGTGCCGCCAGTGTCCAGCCGGACGTCGTCTAGGGTGGATCTATGCTATTTTTTTGCTCGCGACCACATTGTCGTCGCCGCGCTCGTAGTAGTACCTGCTTACTCATTTTTTAAACTGATATAGATACTTTCAGTTTGTTAGTTAAAATGGCGAATAAAAAAAAACAAAATTAAGAAAAAAAGGCTATCTGAAGTGAAGAAAATCCGAAAGTGTATTGCGTAAGTACCTACTTATTATCTATAAACTAGCGCAGAATCAACAGGTCATTTCAAAACAAAAGTACATTAGATATCTACTTTAAAAGGGACACAGACCAGCTAAATCAGTATGACAACTTTTATATTGATTTTCTAATGTTCCACTAAGTACTTATTATGTTGATTCGTAACAATAATAATATAATTTACTACATAAATTGTCCTTCTCTACACAGACTTGCAAAATCAGTATGACTAGAATTTTAAATCCTTAATATCCGTAATAGAAACATTCACCTATATTTTTACATAGTAACTCAAGTTAATTTGTTTTTATTTTTGGTTTTTTGAAATTTTGTTATGAAATTTATTCCATTCCAGTGCTCGGAGACCTCGTACCGAAAAAGGAACTTTGATGTCTAAAAAAAGTACCGATGGGCACTCTAAAGAGGGGCAGTATGCGTAAGTATATCCCTACTTCCCTACTAATATTATAAATGCGAAAGTAACTCGGTCTGTCTGTTACGCTTTCACGCCTACACCGCCGGACCGATTTTGATGAAATTTGGTACAGAGGTATATTAGACATTGGAGAAGAACATAAGATACCTTTTATCTGGGATAAAAGGTATCCTATGTCGCCCACGCCCAGCAGACCGCTGCTGGGCGTGGGCGTGGGGGTGATCGATATAAAAAGGTGTAAAGGAAGGATAATTATAATACCTACTATATTATAAATGCGAAAATAACTCTGTCTGTCTGTCTGTTACGCTTTCACGCCTACACCGCTGGACCGATTTTGATGAAATTTGGTACAGAGGTAGATTAGACATTGGAGAAGGACATAGGATACCTTTTATCTGGGATAAAACTACTTAGGCCACCCTTTATTCCACTGATGGACATGGGTGCGATATAACGTGTAGTCCACGCGGGCGAAGCTGCAGGCGGAAAGCTAGTTATATACATATTACACAGTATACCTAGGGTGGAGCAGTTTTACCTGTCCACTACAAGTTTGCTGTTACCTCGCGTCGTGCTTCAGCTTTCTTTCTATCATGTGTGTTATGTATATATTATAGGATGGAACATGGCAGTGAATGATTTTTTGTTAAAGTTTATTTCAATTATTTTAAACCGAATCCCTTTCATTACTTTAATGACTTTCCATTGTTGCAGGAAAACTAGAAATGACGAAGATACCCTTATCGTTGATGCTGAAAATCAAGAAGACAAGTTTGAAAGGACAACTGGAACAGACGAAGATGATTCCCTTATTGTTGAATCTGAAATTCAAGAAGACAAGTTCCAACCAGTAACAGGACGACGCATTATTGATATCAATTACTTATTTAGTCAATTACAAGAAAAAGCACATCACAATAACTTGTTTGACTGCAAAGCAGGAAATTTTCAGTTGATCAGTGAAAAAAGGGTTGGCTTAATTTCAGTATTTAAATTTGAATGCAATATTTGTAAACAAATTTGCCTCATAAATTCCGACAAAACTGACTCAAATGTTAATGTAAATATCGCAGCTACCACTGGCATGGTAGCAATAGGAATCGGCTACTCACAATTTGAAGAGCTTTTTTCTGCAATGAACATTCCTGTATTTTCTACAAAATATTACAATCAACTACAGGATATAGTGTACGAATGTTGTGAAAAAACAGCAGCCGAATCGATGCAAGATGCTGCAGAAGAAGAAAAAAAATTGGCCATCGAAGAAGGTCGCACCAAAAATGGCATACCAGTAATTGATGTTTATGTCGATGCTTCTTGGTGTGCTAGATCGTACGGATCAAATTATAAAGCTGCATCTGGAACTGCGGCAATAATCGGTAGAAGAACGGGCAAAATAATTTTTCTGGCTGTAAAAAATAAATACTGCCTCGTGTGCGCCCGCGCAGAAAACAAAAATGTCGCTCCTAAGGAGCACAAATGTTTCAAAAATTTCGATGGTTCGTCGTGTTCTATGGAGGGTGAAATAATTGCCGAAGGTTTCAAACTATCCATTTCCATGTATGGCGTAATTTATAAAAGAATGATTGCAGACGGCGACGCCTCGACATACGCAAAAGTGCTAAAAGAAAATCCATATAAAGACCAAAATATTACAGTGGAAAAAATTGAATGTAGAAACCACATTTTGAGAAATCTATGCAAAAAATTACGTAGTCTAGTTTCAGAAACAAAATACTCTTTAGCTCACCGAAAAACTTTGACTGTGGTAAAAATTATGTCCATGAGGAAAGCAATAGTAAGGTCAGTTGTACACCACAATAAAAATCCAAAGGACGATGCTATAACTATTCTTCACAATGAAATAATCAATTCTGTAGCGCATGCATACGGCGATCACAGAATGTGTCAGGATTATAACTGTGACAAAGAAAAAGTTTATTCGCTATGTGCGAAGTACATGGTGGGGGTATAGTGAAGCGATCGCAGCGCTTATCGTGGCAGAAATACGCAACAATCCGGGAAAGTAAAGGCAATTTGCACGGAGTTCGTAATAAACAAAAATTTTTTAAAATGCCTATTAATAGATGTTGTTGTGTTGTGAATTGCAAAAATAAGGGCACAAATAGTCTGTGTATATATTTCCTACATTGGACTGGAAATTAAATCAAAGAAATAAATGGATAGATGCCATAAAAAGAAATAAGTAAGCGAAATAACCTTAAATTATGATCAATTTTATTTGCGCTATATATTTTATGTGATATTCATTATTGTCTTTATTATTTTAGTGTTGATGTGTCGCCATGGTATCCCAAACCTGACGACACAATTTGTAGTGAACATTTTATGGGAAACGAAAAATCAGACGAGGAAGAAAATCCGAGTTATGCTCCTACGATATTCCCTGATATATATCGAAACAGGAAGGTTAATGATTCACAGGTCCTAGCTAGATATACACGCTTGACAAAACGAAGAACCACAAAAGTCTCAGATACCACATCAAGTCAAATAATAATTGAAGAAGGGAGTGAATTAAATCAAACTCAACCTTTTATGATCGATCAAGGATGTCAAGTCAATATGTTTTCTGAATCGAAATTAAGAGATACAGCTTTTATTTGTATTAGATTAATTTACAGTGATCACTGTGATGCTGAAATCCAACATCAAGAATTTTAATGACAAATAATTCAAGAAAGAAAGATAAAAGCTGTGGCACTGACAAAAAATCGTATGAGGATCAATCTACCGAAACAAAAAGTCAAGAATTTGTTGGTATTTCATCAATAACAAATGATCAAGAACTCCTAGATCCTTCTGGTGTGTCATTTAGCAATTTTGAGTTTTTATTAACAACATTAACTATGAAAAAATGTACAGTTTCCACTAAAGACCGACTTCTGATTTTTTTGATAAAAATGAAAACTGGCTTGACATTTTCAGCATTGAGTGTGTAATTTGGTGTACAAAAAAACCACAATCTCACGTATATTTCATTCGATCTTACAAAATCTAGCTTGTTCAACTGCTAATTTAATCTTTTGGCCGAATAGAGCCACCGTACAAGCAACAATGCCCAAGTGTTTCAATCCAGATTACATCAATACAAGAGTTATTATTGACTGTACTAAATTCCGAATTGAAATCCGACAGTATTTAAATTATTATACAATATATAATAATTTTTATTTATCTTTAATTTACTATATTTACTAGAAATCAATAAAATACAAACTGATGTCATTATTTGGCATAATCCCGGAAAGTTGCGTATTGTAGGTGGCGCTCTGTCGTGCACATAGCGAATAGCGACGGACTGAAATCCATTCAGAATTCAACATTTCTGTTCCGGATGAATTCTATTATTTCGAATGTGGCAGTAAAATCACGAAGTTTAATAGAAAACGTGAATACTAATATTGTCGAATGTTTCAATAATGTTATTGCGAAATTTATAGGAGGAAAG